CTGGCAGAGCCCCGACCGGGGGGGGGTGGCTCAGCCTCTTCCTGAGGGAGCCAGTGGGTCTTGCCTGCTGAGAGCCAGCTGGGTAAGTGCCTCCCAACTAGAGCCTGCCTCTGGTACCCCCCCAGCTGTCTGCCCCAGGTCACCATCTAAACCCTCTGCACCTTCTCCCAGGCCAGAATTTTTCCTGCCCCCTAATTCCCTTCTGCTCCACCCTGTGTCCTAGCCCGTGGCAAGGCTCCTCACTCAAATGATTGCCCACCCTGCTGGAGCCAGTCTCCCCTGCTCTTCCCCGGGGCAGGGGAGCCCTAGACCACAGTGTTCACGGGCTGGCCCCGCACTGCCAACAGGCTCGGGCGCTGCTGTGGCCGCCTCCACGCAATCCACCTCCGGCCGTGCCAGTTGAAGCAGCAGTTTTGCCTCCTCGCAAGGCCCATGAGCCACCTCCTGCCCCTGCTGGCACCCCTGGCCCTCTTTTGGGGCTGCCCGCCCCTATTCTCCCACTCCTGGGGCAGGACGGCCTGCACCGCTGCGTGGGGGTCACTCTTCGCTGGGGCACGTCTCCGGGCCACTGAGCATCGTGGCTGGGGCCCTCTCCCCCTGGGGCCGCCTCGGTGGGGAAGTAGGCCCTTCCCTGCCACTCCTGCCGTTTCCAAAATAGGGGAGGGGCCTCAGCTACTCACTCCGGGTATGTCTACACTACCCTCCTAGTTCCAACTAGCTGTACTCCTCGTGGAATGAGGAGTAACAGTAGTTGGGACTAGGAAGCCTAGTCTGTGCCGCGTGTAGCCGCGCGGCACGGGGTTCGAACCAGCCGGGATTTAAAAATGGCGGCGCCCCCCCCCCCCCCCGGAACATGCAAATGAAGCCCGGGAAATTCAAATCCTGGGCTTCATTTGCAAGTGCGGTATGCCTACATTACCCTCCTAGTTCGAACTAGCGGGGTAGTGTAGACAGACCCTCCGGGAAGCTCAAGTTTCAGGGGTTGCGCCACTCCTCACTCTCTGGGCCTGGCTCTTTCTGCATTGACCGCTCAGCACTAGGGCTGTGAAAGGTTAACCGGTGTGGCTGGAGAGCGCCTGGCCGTGGGGGGGCTCCAGCCCCGCTCATTGCCAGCTGGGCGATGCCTCGCCCACTCCATGTCTCCTTCCTGCGCTGCTACCCAGCCGCCTGGCCTTCTGCCCCCTTGCTCAGCTGCCAGTCCCTGTAGCTACCCTCCTGGTCCCCTTCTTGGGTGCCCTGGCCTCTGGCAGCCCAGGCCTGCCTTCTAGGGAACCGCTTGCCTCGCTCGCTGCTCACGACAGCCTTGTCCACGACTGGGCGATGCCTCGCCCACTCCATGTCTCCTTCCTGCGCTGCTACCCAGCCGCCTGGCCTTCTGCCCCCTTGCTCAGCTGCCAGTCCCTGTAGCTACCCTCCTGGTCCCCTTCTTGGGTGCCCTGGCCTCTGGCAGCCCAGGCCTGCCTTCTAGGGAACCGCTTGCCTCGCTCGCTGCTCACGACAGCCTTGTCCACGAGCCGCGCACCGGTCTGCCGCTAGGTGCCTGCCGCCAGCTGTGGCTCAGGTCGTTCTGCCAACCGCAGCCTGGCCTGCTTGTCTGGAGGGTGAGGGAGCGACCACCTCGAGCACCCCTCTTACACCCCCCCCGCCACGTGCCACGGGCTGGGCCCAACTCCCTCAGCTCCCAGGGCGCCCTCCCGGCCTGCAGCTGACCTGTCCACACAATGAAGCTGAATCCCCTGGTGGGTGCCTGTGGGAGTCCGGGGCCCGGGCCTGTGTGGTAATCCGGCTCTGGGTCGGGGGCCTTCTGCTGGGCCTCTTTGTGCCAGCAGGAGCCACAGACTCCGGGGAGCACGGGGGTGGGTTCGGGGTGATGACCGGCTATGCACCAGTGCCATCCAGTGCCTGTCTGCCTCTTCCCCTCCTCTCCAAATCCTGGGCCAAATTGGCCAGGACTAGGCTCGAGTCCTGCTCATGCCCCTTATGGTCTCGCCACTATTGGGTCACAGTTCCCCTCCACTTGTCTCCTTATGCAGGCACAGGGCCAACCCAGACCCCCAGGCTGTGCCTGGCCACCTCCCGGCTTGGAGGTTGCGTGGCGCTTGCACAGACACAGGGCCCTCTACCCAGCAGCATCTGCAGTGAGGCAAACGAAGCACGTTGGCACAGGACTCCGTCTCTCCCTGCCTCCTGGCTGCCTTCTCCAGCTCACTCAGGCCTTTCTCGCTCCTCCCCTCTGCCGGTCCATGGGGGAGGGGAGGTTGTGCCTCCTCCTCCCCCCCCCCCCCCCCCCCCCCCCTCCTCCCCCCCCCCCCCACCCCCA